ATCCAATCAGAAGACCCACAGTAATTAAGAAATGTAATTTTGTGTTCATAAAAGTCATTAAAATGGCTGTAATTAAAAAGTACGGAAGGTCACAAGCAATAAAACGTCATGTGGCTGGAGTGTAAGTGTTCTCTGCTGAACGTCCATTTCTTTATTGCAAATTCTTCATGCAAAACACATGTTGATCATTTTGAATTAGTGTTTTTACTAATTAAAATTTTGAACAGCATCCTAAGCCATTTTCAGCAGCAACATCACTACATTTTTAAGAGTACCATTTATTTCATTTACATATTTCATTGCAATTTCAATTTTGTGAAGTTGTTTTACAGTTTTCAGTGAGTCATCTTATTTCAATTTTATGAAATTTAATCTCACTCTCAACAGTCTTATTTTAATTTCTTTATAATATATTTTCCATAAAGCATCGTAAACATAAAGGTGAAAGCTAAAAAAAAAAAAAATAGCGTTGAAAGTTTTTTCTTAAAAATAACAAGGTAAATAATTTTCATTTAAATGTAAATAATTTCACTTCTCTCCATCCATAGAATAAATTATCCTCATGTAAGCTATCAATATGTCATGAAAATATCTTTCATCACCTGTCAAGTGACGTGAAATGTTATGACCTGCTTTGTTTTATTTTCAAATTACATCTTTTTGGTGCAGAAACTGTTAAGCTTGTTTTTAAAATATTTTAAATAAAAATTATAATTTTTGATTTTCTTAAAATAAGTTTTGAAAAAGTTATAATTGATTTTTAAAAGAATTTCAAACTCAGATTTTCATTTTTTTTTTATAAAATGGAAAAAAATGGTTGACATGATTAATTATCTGTCAATTTTTCTGACTAAAAAAAAAAAAAAAGATTTTTAACGAAAATTTTGAAAATGCTAGGAACGATTAAAAAATGTGCAAAAATACCCCCAAAATACTTTGATCTTTCCTCTTAATAATAACAAACATTTAGACGATAAAGTTTTGTTTTCGTCAAGTTTGGCATCTTTTTCATCATGCTATGCTCTTTTTTTAGTGATCTCATGGAGATACCTAGTTAAAACAAGTTTAGTATAAAAGATAAAGAAATTGAACATAGAATAGACTGAATAGAAGTAGTTTCATTCAACACCATAAACATTAACCTGAAAACTCAAGTCATATTCTTAAATAGCTTTTTTTTTAAATAGATTTTTATATGGATGCCATATATGGCACTAAACCAGTTTTATAGGGGTATAATATTGAAAAATGATTTCAATATTTTACCCCTATAAAAGTATGAAAATCCATTTATCATCACCTAAACAAATATCAAGGAAACTTTTGATCTGAACCCCATGAAACTAGGTATTTTCTGAAAGCAAAGGATATATTCTTTCATTTAAAAGTAAAATTGGCTGGTGTAAATGACACAAAATTTTTTTTCAGGGGGTAAAATGTGAAAAAATAGTGAAAATTTTACATTTTTTTTTTTAGTTCTAAACAAAAATTTTCCTCATTAATTGGAAATTAACCATTTTATTTGGAAAATCAGAAAGCCTAAATCATAATCAAACTATTTCAGGCATAAAATTGAGATGTTTTGAAGGAAATCAACATTCTTAGGGGGTCAAAATGTGACAAAGTCCATTGGTAATTTTCAATTATATGACTGCCAGGGGATTAAAGTTTTTTTTTTTTAAAAAAAAAAAAAAAAAAAATAGCAATGATAAGGAAAATTAAGCCAAATTGACATCTGTGTCAAAGGTCAGCCAGCCAGCCAGCAATAAACATTTTCAGCTTGTAATAAAATGCGCCACTCCCAGATAAGAGCAAAGAGTGAAGAGTGAAAAAAAAAAAAAAAAAAGGGGGTCAACATTAGTGTTATACCAGAACATTACCTATTCTATTGTAATAGACTCTCCCACAGATAATAAGTAATAGTAGTAGCAGTCGCCAGTTGGGCTCAGTGGTGTTGAGTGAGTCTGTCGGATATTGAAGTATCAACCATCACAACTAGATTGCTGCATCATTAATTATTATTGCAAGTTCCTAACGTTTTGTACGTCGGACCCTTTTTAGGACCGACTTATTGAAATACAAGCCTCCACTGTGAAAACTACTCTACAACAATTAGTAGGGCTTGATATAACCTATGTTTGAACAATGGCTTGATGTGTTTTGTTTTGAACACCCAGTGACCCGGGTGATGACAACAACACTTAGCAGACAATATTGTTTTTTTCGCCGCATGTCTTTCGTATTTCTCATTGCTGGGCCATTTAGCCATTCCTTTTATTCAATGATGTTCACACCAAATTAAGGAGAAAGGGATGACCTTTGAATTATATTATTTTGAAGTGAAAATAAATAATTTTCATTAACAAAAAAAAAAAAAAAGGTGATTTTTCTCAGAAAATTGTACATATTCTAACCACTGAGTGACGTTTTTCCACAACCAAATCGAAGATTAATTACCAGTAAATAATTCCAGGTGAAAACAATAGCTGTCTGGATCCTATAACGTTGCCCGAAAAGGTCCAGAAGTTTACTGATTGATTGAAAACTTGTTGCACATAATTGTGTTTTTCACGGTCAGTTTCCATTATTTCATCTTGATGTTATTTTCGGACAGCCAAGTCATCAAGGATTCAGGAAAACAGTTTGGCACAGATATGCTTTAAGAACTTTACATTCTATGAGGAGTTTAAAATATTACTGATGAATGGGATTTTTCGTCGAATATTTCGTTTACGTGCCATGTTGGATTTTCCTATATGAGAAAAACAAGGGTTTTAAACAGCTAAGTTGTCACAATGTAACACAGCCAGAAACAAATCCTTGGGCATTGGGAGCACAGTTGTAAATTGTCCATATGAAAGAAGACATTTGGCACAAAATGGCAAATAAAGAAAATGCTGAAGTAGCTAGCCTATGATTTAATACGTCTTTCTTGTTCACATATTTATTGATTAAATATGCTTTCTGTATGGTAGTGAGAAATGTGCCTTTGAGTTGACAAAGTTGTATCTGTCCCCATCCATGCCAAATCAAATATTCACCTCCAAAAGATCCTCCTAACTTTTTGGTGGTGCTGTAACAATAAATTTATTACAGCCTCTTCCAACCTGGTCAGATTATCTAGACAGGGTCTTATTGTGATTTGTAACTGACCTAGCAAAAGTTTCAAACATTTTAGTCAGCAATAATGAAGAGAAAGGAACTTATCCAGCTGCAGGTGAACACAAGATCTCATATTTGACAAAAACAATCAATAAAAACTTATAAAGTTGGGCATGAAGGTCCTGCTCTATGCTATTTATTCACAAGACTTGTCCCCTATTTTTTCCAAGCCATAGGTGCCCCAACAAGTATAACACTGAGAACAGGTAGAAAAAGCCTTCTCACATTTTCTCAACTACTGTGATACCAGTTTTTATTATGATAGAATAAATTCATTGCTCGATTGTTGGCAACATTATATCAATTCTAATGAAGCTTACTTTCACCATAAAGCTGCATTTGAGATAAGTTATGAGGTTTAAAAGATTGTGGTTCAAAAGTAGAGTCATTTATTCTGTTCCAATCTGATACCAAGTCAGATAAGATTGCATCTGGAGTTAAAAAGCAACATTGACATAAGTAAAATTTTAAAATTTGCTATCTTCAGAATGCTAATTTCTCTGGATGTACCACATTCCTTCAGAATATGGTTAAAAAAATTTATTGCCTTTTGTTGCTCTAAATAATTCTTGCTCTCTTCTACAACTCCTTTTTCTTTGTGTTATTTGTTCTGCAATCCATTTACTTATATTTGTCAAGCAGGTTTTCCCCAGCTGATTTTGCTTTCAGTATGCCCTGTAAGTGTTAAACTCTCCAAACCTTTTTTCTTTATCATGCATGCTAAAAGTTTCAGCAGTAGTTCTTAAAAATTTCCTCATATCCTACATACTCTGTCCATGGTATTCTCAACATTCATTAGAAGAATTTCATCTGTGTTGCTAAAAGTCCTTTCCTTATCTGTAATGGAATCAATTACTGTAAAGAATCGTTCACTATTCATATGCACCTTTAGATTTCTGTGTCATACCTTCTGTCATCTGTTACTATAGCATACTGTGTAGATAATTAAACTTCTACCCTTGCTTGATTATAGCATTTTCAATAGTTAACTCACACTGGTTTGTCTCTCTTTTGCTGACAATAATGTATTCTATCTTCTTACAGTTAATGATTAGCCCTTTTTTATTATTAATTAATGTTTTATATTTTTGAGTTTGTTGTAGAATATATTAGAGGGTATTTATAATGGCTGTTTTGTATGTGAGCATTCACTGTTGTAGTTGAGTAGGCACAGTTTTGAGTTGATGGTGGTTTTATAGTTATTATTCAGCTCAATTAGTGCATCTTTTACTAACGTCAAGTTTATGTGATGTTAAGAATAGATAAGAGTTATTTTCAAAGATTATTATCAAATTTTTTTTACTTTGTAATTTTAATATAGATCTATCAGCAACAAAGCAAGTGTAAACTCAGTTTTTAAAACATTTCATTTTCTAAGGTTGACATGTAGAAGTCTAATCATGTTGAAGCAATAGGTGAATCCAGAGTAATACCATCAATTCGTGTGCATACATTTCCTAAATGGCACAATATCCATGAGTGTAACAGAATCTAAATTTGGTGACTTGTTAGAATAGGAATTAAGAAAAGTTGATGTGAAAAGCATTTAATTATAATAAATTGAAATAGCACCTGAAAATGTTCAAGTCTGAATGAACAACTTAACAGGGTTTTAATTAATTTAAGCTATTAATCAGTTAAAACAAGGGGCACCACACCTCACCCCAACACACTGCTAAAAAATGATAGAACTAAGCCAAATGGAGCAAGAAATCCTCATATCAAAAACAAAACGTGTGAGGAAAATCAATTGGTGGTGTGAGATGCCCACCACTAGCTTAACGAGAACCAGAGAGTTACATGGTCATGTTATAGGTGTATGTAGAGAAGATACTTACGGTCGGCAGTTACTAATCATGTCTTTCATGATACTGTCAATATTGCTGTTAATAAAAAAACAAAAAAAAAAGATTAATATTTGCAGAAGAGAAAGAGAGTAATATAAAAGACAAAAATTCTCATTACAAATAAAAATAATTTCTTTAACAGGAAAATATTTTATTCCTACCTATTCTATGATCAATTAAGTTTTTAAAAATAAATAATCTTGGTTAAGTTTAAACCTAGATTTTAGAAAATAAGAAATACCAACCATCTGGTGTCTATAAATAATCAACTTTGCATATCAAATATAAATCTGGGGTAGAATCATGAGTAGCTGATATATCATTAACTCCTTCAGCTGAGATTAAAGAAAGTGTTTTAATTTTTCAACTACTCTGACAGGAGCCAGGTTAAAATAAGACAATTTGGGGTTTTAAATGTGTCTATTGATAAAATAAGTTTCTTAACTTGCATCCTAATGAAGACATTAAAAAATTCTATTTTGAAATAACTTAATTATTTAAATAATACTTATTTGTACATATAGAAAAAGCAATAAAAAAATAATCATTGGCTGGATCTGAATTCAACTATAAGATCTATTTAGAACAAGTCTCAATAAGTAGAACATTAATACTACACATAAATATTAAGGACGTTTTTAATGTTTTCTCTTTAGCTGGTTATTATTTAATCTTAATAATAATAAATTCATTTATATAAACAAGTAGTTAACATACATATTTATGCACAATAGGTCATTCACAATTTATAAGTGACAAGTAATCACTTCTTGTACTTTCCAAGATAAAAAAAACATATAGAATGACAATGGAATCAATTGCTGCTTTTTTCCCAGAGGCTAACAGGACTTACTATCCTATTCATTGGTAAAGTAACAGAATTTCAAGATATTTACTGAACAATGAGATTGGTCCACTGAAATGGATTCTGGAAAACAATATACCAATCAAGAAAACAAAAGAACCCAAAAAGCATAATTAGACTAGCTTAAAAATTAAAATAAAGTGTTTTGTATCAAAAGTAGAGAAAGTATTTTAAGGCTCACTTAATAACAAACTCTAATATATCTTTGTAAGTGTGTAATGTAAATAAAATTTCGATAATCTTCAAGTAGTCAGTCATCAAGCAAATACAAAACTTCAAAAATATGCAGCTTTCATCAGAATACATTTATTGAACTTGCTCATTCAAATCTTCATTACAAAATTATTTTCTACCATGAAATTTTAGAAACAAAATCATTCATTTAAAAAGAATGTTAGCACAAATTAGTCATAATCTAAAAAGTTTCCCCAATATATTAGTGAGAGAAAAAGACTAAGTACAGCTTCTTATAAAGAAACATTTCAAATTTTATATGATCCAGAAAAGTTAACATCCATAAATTGTTCACCATCTTGCTAAGCTGAATATATATATATATATATATATATATATATATATATATATATATATATGAAAAGATAAATCTATCAATGAAAGAGAGAAACTATTACTAATTACCTCCTAAGTGTCAAACAGTATGGATTTTGTTCCTGAAGGTCCACTGCTATTTTGACTAATCACCCATAGAAGCAGTGAAGTACTTGCTGATAGCTCAAAGGCTTTTGACAACATGTAGCATAGGGAGTTTTCTACACAAACTCTCTAATTAGGACATCTCTAGAAGAGTTTATGCAACTTTCAATGCAACTTTTTGTAACTTTCAATATCTCAAAAATCAAGCTAGTATTATTTCATTATCACCAATCAGACCTTGGGACACAATGAACGTTCCACACTCAATGAGGTTTCATTCTTTGAATGTCTACTGGGTTTCACTTCAGCCCTCAAGCTGAACTCATATATACAATCTATTGTTAGAGATGCTGGAAAAATCATTGGATCATACTATGGCTACAGAAAGTATCCAATTCCCTCTGCCATGCCTTATCTTTATCAAGAGTCAGATTAGACCAAAAATGAAATATGTGAATATGAACAGACAAGATTGATGAACCGTTTTCCATTACAAATACCTAAGATGGGCACAACAGTCATGCTATAGATTGGCAAATTGGCTTGAATTATGAATATAGTAAAGGATAATGTTAAAAGAAATGTGCAAGGCATTTAATTACAATAAAATGAATTAGTGCTTGGAATTGTCTAGGTTTATACTTGTGAATTAACAGGATTTTAGCTGGTAGAATTGGGTAAAACATACCCACTACCATCTGGTCCTAAACTAGGGTGGATCTTGGTCACAATTCAAAACTTTTTAATACTATTCAACATTTTACCTGGATCGCTCTATCAAGTCAAGAATTCAGGTGACCCCACCAATGAGAGAATAGGGTATGAAGTTATGAAAACCCTTCCCAGGATACTGTTAATAAGCCCCTATGCAAATCAACTTACTTGACACTTGAAAGGAGCCTGTTCCCCATATAAATAAAAATAAAGTAGAGAGAGAGAGAAAGAAATGCCCGAGTTACTCCACCTTTGACAGAGAAGCTCTGATCTCCCGAGAACCTACAGTTTGTCTAATTAGCCTGAATCAGACAGTTTTGCCTTGCATGTCTAGGAAAACCCCAGATATTATCTCTGGTTAATTTTTAATAGTCAGTTGATAACAAATCCACTTTGTATAAGTACTTGTATAAAGAACTGAGAATATAGATAAGGCAAGTGGCAAGATTCAAGCCATTAACCTGCCAGAGAGAGTATAGAAGTTTTGCTGACATATTTTAGCTGGACCTACTCTATCCCCACTTTCCAGCTTCAAGTTCCAAATCATTTACACAATCTTGTGAGGGAAGACTTAATTTCCACTATGCAATATATTCCAGACACTACACAACACTAGAAGTCTGTTTCTACACTAATCACTATTTTGACAGTAAATGATCAGATAAACCCATTTAATTAGATTCACTAGTTCAAACAGCTCAGATATTCTCTGCTACTTCCATGAAGTTGAATCACCCACATTTCCTGTGTTGCCACTTTGCAGAAGTGACTCTTATATGGTTGCTTTTGTCAACATTTCCATATTGACTTCTTCAATCATCTTTCCTCTTTATCCTCAAAATTTTCATTTTTTCCCTTTCATTAATATCACAAACCTCATTCATCATTATTATTCTGATTGTAACCCTCTATCTAGAGTTTCTCCCAAGCCTTGTATTAGGCAAAATTTAGTATTAAAATAATCTAATAAAAAGCTTCAGTGTAACTTAATTTTGGGTTGTGAACTGAAAGAAGACCTAACCTTGAAAAGAAGTGCAACCCAAACATTTCATGGTGTGAATCAAATACATCTTGGCAGAAATCATACAATGGCTTCCAAGGAAGTGTCAATTCATCAGGAGAGAGAAGATGGTGCTTCCTGCAATAAAAAAAAAAAATTACAAATCAGAAAAAGGCTATTTTAAAATGAATTTGTTCAAGATTTTGAAACAGTTTCTTCACATTTTGATAGTATGATTCTAAAAATTAATTCTTTTAATAAGGTAAAAATATTTCTTTAAACTGATACAATTTCATTAATCTGTCAAAACTAGAAAAATTGATCTTGTTATATCAACTTCAAGTAATTCTAATTCAATAACATGCTTCATTTTCAAGCTTTGTTCGGACAAATTAACTATTCATGTAATTAATAAATTACTTCTTGGTGTAGTTGAAGTGTCAAAATTTTTCTATGGCTCTTTTATTTCTTGAAATTGTTTTCATTGAATTTCAATATTTGGTTTCTTATCACTAATAGTTAAAAACAAGTGACATATTTACCACATTACTATTGTACATAAACTAATATCAAGTGTTCAAAAATTTGGACTTCTCTTGAATTGATATGCGCTAGTGTTTGTTTGAAATGACACACTAACATTTGCATTTAGTTTAAATGGTACTGATGCATCATAATAATTCAGTTAAACATCTTTATAACACAATAATGGTTTTATTCTCAATTTAAAAAGAAATTACATTTGCTTTAATTTTATTATTTTGAAACAAATATTACAACAAATTAGGCTACACCCTTGTTTGAGAGTATACAAATAAAATACTTTAAAAACTTTCATAATTCTACAGACACAATGTAAAAAAAATTAAATCCAAAAAGAAGAAAAAGATGGCTTCTTACTTGAGTAAATTGTTGATGGTTTGGGCAAACTTGTGTGTCAGAGAAAATTGGTAGTGAGGAATGAGGACCAATTCATAGAGAAGTTTGATAAAATAAATATGGTCTTCTTTGGAAAATTTCAAGCCATAAAGGTGGATGTATCTGACAAAGAGAGATGTGGAGTTATAGAAAACAAAACATACCCAACCAAATATTTATCATTATTTTTTTCAATCAATGCACTTAATGCTCACATGAAACAAATTAAAAATAAAGAACAGTAGTGATATGTGACTTTAGGGATCATTTTAACTGAACAATGCAAGGTGAGCTTGTAAAACTATCCCTCTGAGCATTATACACATTGACTTGCCAAAAGTTACGAGATAGCTGTTTAGTAGTCAAATGACTTCTGGGGAAATGTTGAGCCATGGCATCTCAATAGGTGCACACAGCTGCATGACATTTGTTGGCACCATATCTTGCATGCAAATAGACTTCTCCACAATGTCTCGTAAATGCTCAATTGTGCTCAAGCCGGATGAATGTGGGAGCCACATTATTCAAAGGGAGTCTCTAGAATGCTTTGCAAACAAGTTCTGAGCAACTTGGCTACAATAATATGATGCATTACCCAGTTCGGGTACATGGAGTACATAAATGAGTGAAAAAGGCGACAAAAAAATGCAATGTAGCATTCACTGATCAATGATATGCTTAGACAAACCAGTGGACCAATGCTGTATGAACACACCTCACACAACTATGGCATCACCACTAGCTTACAGTGATTTGTTGATATTAAGGATCCATAATTGGCCACTGTGCTGTCCACAGTAAGTGGTAATACCTTCCATTAGCTATTCCCAGTACACATGACATAGTAGATTTCAAGAGTCCCAATAATTTCGGATATGGAATGTTCCATCCATCTGCAACCACTATAATGCCCCATTCAAATTCCAATAATCCACATCACCTTGTCATGAACAGCTTAGTAGGTGTTTCCATTGACTCATAGATGTCAGAGCTGATATAGATCTGGGCATTTACATGACACAAAGGTAAAGTGGTACCACCTACCATTACATACTATCCCATGACTTGGCATATTAGTATATATTTGCAAATACATTCTACTGTCCTGGAAGCAAAGAAGGGATCAGTGAATGTAAGTGAGCTCAGATAAACAGACATAATTAAGCCTTGTTAGTTGATGGCAATTCAATCAACACTAAGCTCATAATTCAGAATCAAGCCAAAATGATTTCTTCTGGTTAGATAATAAGCTGTAAAACAATGTGTGTGTGTGTGTGTGTGTGCGCACCATATATTTACTAGAAAGATTCTTTATTAGAGTCTATTTCAAGTAGATTTGTACACAGATATACAAAAGAATAACAATATCTATTAACAAGTAATGTAGCTAAAAATTCACTTTTTTCATGATGAGAAAATTTAGCTCTTAGTACATGGCAATAAAAGAAAAATTATGAGATGTGGAAGTGTATTTGTTTGGGAGTTTTTTTTTTTATTTTTATGCTTAAATTATTATTTCAACTGGTCTTACAATACTAAAAAATGCTTATTATCAAGATTGAAACAATATTGAATATTTTTTGTTGAAAACTAATAAATTTTGGTCAACCGATAAATAGAGCAACATCTTTTTTGCAGTGATATTATGCTAATGGTTTAACTTTTTAAAACCTCAATTCAAAACACTGCATTCAAAATCTCATCAATAAATATTTATAAAACCTTCAACAGAAACCAAGTATTCCAGCTTAAAACAACTGCAAAAATTCCCAAAATAGAAAAATAAATAACATAACAGAAGTGAGCATTTTGATTAAACATCTACTGTATCAGCCGTTGGTTAAAAAAAAGAATCCAATGACAAGTTCTCACAAGCATTTTGATAGCTTACCAAAATTTGATAATTGATTCACATCAAGAGACACAGAAGTTCCATATTATTTAATATCACAGTGGATGATAATATAAATAACATAGCCATTCCTTCAGATCAATATTGGATTAGGAATTGAATTTATGATGCCAGCCTTCATGTTACATAGTGGACATGATGAAAAATGAGGTTAGAATGATTTCTTTACAATATAGATTTTTAATAAACTGATATTGCCATTTTTGCCTATCTCCACACTCTTCATTAATAAGTAATATACTTTGAGTAAGATAACAGAAAATGTTAAGTTCCAGCCTAATTTAATGTGCCACAATAAAAAATAAATAATTTGACAATAGAACAAAGTGTTGAATATTACAAAACTGAAAGAGCAAGTTTTCACTGATACTAAGAAAATATTTGATAGACTAAATGTTAAAATAACCAGTATGTTTTAAAAAAAAAAAAAGAAAAAAGTTCTTGAAAATTCTTTTAAAATTATGATAGTAATCTAAAAAAGAAATTAGATTTAATTTCTATTGTTCACAAAAAGTAGTTTATGCTTATTTTTTTAAACATGCATACATGCATTTCTCAATATGTGAAAAACTAAAATCCCCAAAAAGCTTGTGTGTGTGTGTGTGTGTGTGTGTGTGTGTGTTTATCATGGGTATTTTATCAGAAATGAAGTAATCACACTTTTTTTTTTAATGAATCTAATATTTTAGGATGTTCATATTAAATCTGACATGTTTAAAACATGTATCTAAATTTAGGAAGAGATACAATTACAAGAAAGAAACCTGATAAAAAGGGTCTAGCAAAACAAATACATTTACATTATCTTTTTATTGGCATTATTAACCCAGTTGATCATGTATGGTTAAATTTGCCCAGGTTCATATAACATTTTTAATATATCTTTAAAGCTTTTTTTTAATCATGCTAATTATGGAGTTGCATAAAATGTGAAGGTAAGTGCGATGGAAACCAGAGTTCAAATTCTAGTTTAGCCTATTGTGCTGACTTTGCAATAATAGCCTTGAGAAAAGTATGAATCCATCTCTTCTCTTTCTCAGCTATGGGTAAAATAACAGGAGACTTGGCTCCACTTGGATGACAGCCAGTCTAAGAAGAGAACAACTTTGAACTCAAAATCCTGGAGAAGGCATCAACACTATCTTTACCATAGCAATTCACACATTCCTCTATGTGACACATCCCTTTAGGACATGGGCGATCACGGCTCTCCAAAATAACAGTTTTCTCCCTTTTCTAAAACTCCTGCCTCCATTCTGCCATCCATTCACACAAGCTTGTCAGGTAGGTGGCTCATTGCCTTCCTTTATTTCTCTTGTCCATAATATATCCTGTGTGGGTTATATTTTCCAAGCCTTCCTTCTTTATTATGCATTCAAGAAATTTCAGCTACCTCTTCTGAGTATAAGTGTGCTTTCTGCTGCCATTTTCTTTAAGACTTCCTCATTGCTTACTTGCTCCATCTATGGAATTCTCAGTATCCTTCTGTAGAACTGCATTTCTACTGCCTCCTGATTTCTCCACATCCATGGAAAGATTGTCCAACATTCACTGCCATATAAGAGAATGGATATCACATAGCAACCCAGCACTCTTTTCTTTGTTTTTAACAAAATTTTCCTGTTAGTTGGCACTTTGCTTAGCTTTTGGAAGGTGAGTGTTCAAATTTCAGTGTCACATTTTCCATCTTCTGTTAACACACATCCCAGATATTTAACCTTCTGCACTTGCTTCATTTTGAAATCTCCAATTTGTAACTCCTAACTTTAGTTTTTTCTCTTGCTGATTACCATTTCTGTCTTCTTGCAATTGATAGTTAGTCTTTTTTCTCACTTACTTTTACTTCCCTATGAAGTGATATTGTTTTCTTTACATGTCAGCTATAATTACCATGCTATCTGTGTATCTTATATCATTAAAATTATGTCCACCAATAATGAAAACTAACAGTCTCCAGCTCCCTTAGGATAGCCTTCTTGTAGAGGTTGAATAAATCTGGGGAGAAGACACATACTTGTCTTACACCCCTTTCTATTTGTGTAGATAATTCATTTTCTATCTGTATGCAGTTTGCTACCAGTATAAATTCTGGATTATACTAATGTCGTTTCCAAATAGATTGAGTTTTCCTAGCAGTTCAAATAGATCCTTGTGCCATATCTTGTCAGATACTTTTGTGTAGTCTATAAAACATAAATGCACATCCCTATACATTTGCATTGCTCTTTCTGGTATCATTCTAATGAATATCGCAATATCTTGTCCCAGTGTTCTTGGTAAAGCCACACTGTTCTTGTCCTATTTCCAGTCTAATTCTGTTTTGCACTATTCATCAGGATTCATATCATTAATTTGGTTATTGATTGTTCAGTGGAGCTTGCATTCATTTGCATCTGGTTTCTTAGGTAATGTTATGAAGATGGATTTACTGAGGTCCTCTAGTATATTGTCACTGCTGTTTATTTTGTTTACTAACAATGATCTTGTTGATGCTGAAATCATTTAAGGCTGAGAGCATTTATTATGATCCCATGTTGCTTTGTTTCTGTTCATCTTATCCAATGCTGATCTTACTTCATATTTGAATATTTCTGGCCCTTCCATATTTTCAAGTGTTGTATGAGTCTCTCTTGCACTGTGAAAAAGTTCTGACATATTTGCGCCACCCTTGGAGTATTTTTTCTCTATTATCAGTGATCCTTCCTTTGATTTTATAGAACCCAGTGGTTGGATCATCTTTCATCCTGTTAATCCTTTTATTCTGTTGTACATACTTGCTGCATTTGTGTTGCTTATCCTTTCTACATCCACACACTTTCCATTGAGCCATTCCTCTTTAGTCTGCCTACATTTGTTTCTAATTTCTGTGTTTAGCATTCAGTACTCTTTTTCATTCCTTGGCATTGTTTGTTGTCACTTTTTCATCAACTCTTGAATTTCTTGTCATCCACTCATTCCTTGAGATGATCTCATTCGCCAACATCAGCAGCGTTTCAATCAGCATGTGCCAATTTGGTTTTGTAGTTTCCTTCAGGTTATATTCATTTATAACTGTTCTTGGGTTTTTGTAGGTCTTCTTGCAATAATTACTATTCATGCAGTAAATAAATGTGGGATTAATCCTTATAATCATATAGGAGCAACAAGCTTGAGTGCAAACATTTTGCCCAAAGATTTTCACATTCCATCAAAGACCAATGAACAGAAAAAAATAAAAGACTTATGTAAAAAGTTTTTCTTGGTCGTTCCTAAAATTTATTTTAAGAATGACTAGTTTTTTTTGTTTTTTTTAATGGTGCAACGAATTTATTTTTCTTTTCATCATTCAAAGTAAATTTAATGCGAAAATTTCAACTACCATCTTTCAACTTTTTTTTTTTTTACTCTCCAATCTCTACACAGAAAGATGAGCATATATAGAGTAAAGTAAACTATTCTTTATTATTATCTGAAAATGCGGTTTCAAGATATTATTGAGACTTGAGAACTAACATGGAACTAAAAACATATACGGAAGGGTAAATAACCATGATAACATAAGGACAAGGTGCTTTTCAAGATCTGATGTACTGGAAAAATTATGAACGAACGAGCATTATCCAACAATTCCGTTTTGTTTATGAAAAATCCTTCTCAGAGAAAAATAAAAACAATTTTTATCGTTACAAACTAGAATTTCAATGAGATTTTATTTATGAAATTTTTAACGTTATTTTTTTTCTAGTTGTTGATTGTTTGTTTTGTGTAGTCTCATTCTCAATTCAAAACAAAATCTGTTGACTCTTCTTAGCTTAGTCTTTAAAAAAATTAAAATATTTTTTAAATGAAAAAACTAAATGTAAAAAAAAAAGCATGTGTCAAATTATAAGTTTTCATAAACAGAAACTAAAAATGACAAATTTTATTACATTCTTTTTTTTTGCTTTTGTGTTGTAAAGTAAATATTGTTTCTGTTTAGTTTACATGACCCAGACACTAAGATAAAAAAAAAAACAAAAAAAAAAAAACTAAAAATAGCGAGACAGTTCCCTCGAAATGGGACTTATAGAAAACCTAAAAAAATATCCACATTTCTTGGATTAATTAATTTCATATTTAAAAAGACAAAAATTAAAAACGGCAATGCATCAGATAATTCAAATGAAATTTAATTTCTTAGTACTGTCAAATTTCAATTTTGGAAATGAAAGATTTGTACTATCCTCTTAATTTTTTTAAGTAACGACTTAGCAATTTTTTTTTTTTTTTTTTTTTTTTACAATATTATAAAGTTTGGAGAAAAAAAAAAATCAAATCAAATGAAAGAAGTTGTCACCTCAATTGAAAAAAAAAAAAAAAAGAAAAAAAAAAAGGATATTTTTTTTAAAAAGTTCAAACAGCAATGTGTTGTGAATAAATAAAACCAAACCCTGATGTTTAAAAATTATTTTTTTTTAAAGGTTAATTTGGTTCATTTCCTTTCATTTGTGTGAAATAAAAAAATCTTTCAACCAAGTATATTTTTTTCTATTTTAAACGATTGAGAAAATTTCAAATAAAAAATAAAAATGATGTAGTAAAGTAAATGAAGCCAACCCATGCAGCTACTACATAAACATGATTAATTTATTTTAGTTTTTCACTAATGTTTCGCTTAAAACTGATTGTCATCATTATTTTTTTTACACTGAACCAAGGGGAAAAACTGAAAAGAAAAGGTTGTTAGGATTAAAAATTAATCACAACGCAGAAGAGTTTTCTGAAATCGTTATTTTTAGTTTTTTCGACTAGATTTGATATAAATCTTCGTTGATCATTTAGATTTCACTTATTTTTGTATATTTTTTAGTAGTGAAATCTAAGCAACCATTTTAAATTTACCCGAAAAAGCTTTTTAAGTTTTTATTTATTTATTTATTTATTTATTATACGATTCAATATTCTTCTAAAAATTATGTGAACGTAGAAATTACTAAGAGAAAAAAGAGGACTTTGGTTTTAAAGCGTATTATGTTGTTAAACTACAAAAAAAATAAAAGGAAACGACAATGATACAAATTTAAATATTTTAATTATTTTGTTTGAAATTTATTTCGATGCTGTCAACTTTTGACAAGTGTGTTGTGTTGATGTAAATTGGGAAAAACTGTTTACAACGGGAAGAATAAGAATCCAGTAAGTAAATTTTCTTTTTATATAGTTTGTGTTGTAAGTTAAAAAAATAAACAAGTGAATTAAGACATCAAGACAGATAGAAAAAAAAAGTGTCACTGTTAGTCTTCTTGTGGTTTTTATTTTATGTAAGTTCTGTTTTTAATAAATAGCAACTAAGCGCAAAAAACCATGTCGTCTTGATCGAAATAAAAATAAATAAAACGAAACAAAAATAAAGTTTAAATAAATCATCATTATTGTTGTTATTGCTTGTGGTAGTGAGTTTTTACCTGGCCAATTGTCCTACCCAGTGAATTGCACCGACCTTGATGTCTCTCAACTCGACGGCCCGGGCAAGATTTCCTTTGATTTCGGAAAGCAATTCGTTTGATTCGGCGTCCAATTGGACCGCGTATGGCAGGATACGGTTGTAAGGAACCTCCTTTTGTGGCTTGAAGCCCAGCACCTCGGCCCTGTCCGCTTTTTCCATTATATGAGGGCCTCAAAAAACACCGTCTTCGTCTTGTTAAATGACAGAATCAATGTGGAAAAATTTCGTGCCCCTAAATCCGGGGACAACGTCGAGACACCAACGCACCGCCGATCATTCACACATATACAAATTAAAATATCTTCTTTAAAAGGAAATATAAGTTTAAAAATATGATGTTTTGTATAGAAAGTTGTGAATTGTTCCTCTTTTCTTGTTTCTTAATGTTAATATGTAAAAAAAAAAAAAAAATAATAATCAGTAAGACAAGGTGAAGAGAGTTAAAGAGATACCGGCGGTTGTCGTCATAATCTTGCATTTATAAAACTCATTTCCTCTCAAATTCGCTGCGCACGCACACTGCAAGGGAGATAACTCTAGTGATCCTCTCCACGTGACTAAACAAGTTTACATCTGTAAAATATCTGATTCTCTCATAAAATGAATACTTTTTTGATCTCTATTATTCCACCACAAACCTTTTTTGTTTTGGTTTTACACATTCTGTTACTTTTCGCTTTTCTGGAAGGAAACTTATAGACTTTTGTCGTACATAAGACTTATATAAAAATTTTAGAATCTAATGTTTCAGGAGTAAAACGGGAAGTGAAGTTTTATTTTTAAAATTAATGACAATAATGATTTTTTTGGACAAGAGGGTAAATTTAGTCTTCTGTTTAATTCTCCATTTTAGCAAAAATTGGAGTTTCTGAAGACTCTGACATACCCACTTTATAGTACCATGGATTATATATATATATATATATATATATATATATATATATATATATATATATAACATCAAGATTATGATCATTTCAACATAAATTAAAATTAATCTGGGGAAGAAAAATGTAACGTTCCATTTGCCTCAAATGTGGTGTGTTGTTTTTAAATCAAATTAACAAGGAGTTAAATCGACTTGAGGAAATGGGAGTTCTGGCAAAAGTTGAATATAGTAAATAGGCATCTACCACAGTTTATATTAAAAAAAAGAGCAAAGAAATTTGTGTATGTGCTGACTTCTCTACAGGGCTGAACAGCACCCTAAAGAATCACCATTATCCCCTTCCAAGTCCAGAGGAAATATTTGCTAAGCTTAGTGGAGGAAAATATTTTTCTAAGATCGACTTAAGTGACGCATATCTACAAATACTCGTGGACGAGGAATGCTCGAAGCTCCTTTGCATAAACACCCACAAGGGTTTATACAAATTTTTAAGATTTCAGTTCGGGGTTAAGGTCATCCCTTCCATTTTTCAACAAATCATGGACGTGATGTTAAATGGTTTGGATTTTGCAGTGACCTATCTTGATGACGTCCTAATGAAAAGCAAGAGCATCCAGGAACACAAATCGCATGTCTGGCAGGTATTCATAAGAATCCAGGATTACAGATTCAAATTAAAAGACGGGAAGTGTGATTTTTTCTTAGAGAGGATTAAGTACTTGGGACAAATAATTGACAAAGACAGAAGAAGACCTGACCCAAATAGGGCAACGGCAATAAGGAATATGCCAGCACCAGAAAATGTGTCGGCTCTTTAAAGTTTTTTTTTAGGTCTTGCCAATTATTACAACATTTTTGTCCCAAGAATGCACAGTCAGAGAGCTCCACTTAAAGAATTATTGAGAAAAGATAAAGAGTGGGAATGGAGAACCAAATGCCAGGAAGCATTTGAGAAAATAAAGGAGGTCTTGTTCCTGATTCATTATGATCCAAACCATGACATCATTGTAGCCAGCGATGCTAGCTCCTATGGCATCAGGGCGTCATTTTACATACGTTAAAGAATGGATTGGTAAAACCAATTGCCCATCCATCTAGGACGCTATTACCAGCTGAAATTGATTACCTGCAAATAGAAAAGGAAGCCTAAGGAATCATTTTTGCAGTGACTAAATTTCATAGATTTATTCATGGAAGGTGCTTTTTGTTGCAGACAGACCATCATCCACTCCTTACTATCTTTGGATCAAAAAAGGGTCTGCCAACACATACTGCTAATAGACTGCAAAGATGGGGAACCATTCTCCTCAATTATAACTACAAAATGGAGTTTCTCCCCCATCCACTAAAATCTGTCATGCAGATGGGTTGTCTAGATTGATATGTAAGTATGCTGAACCCTTGGAAGACAGAGTCATTGCTGCTATAAGAACAGAGGTTGAAATAAAAAATACCTTGTGCAATACTGTCAGGAAGCTTCCTGTAACAATTGACAAGATAATAGACAAAGCGTCCGATGATGAGTTCATAAAGGAAGTAAAGGACAAATTAAATAGTAAAGACCAGAATATCTCAGAAGTTTACTCACTCTGTAACCACATACTAATGTACAGAGGCAGAGTAGTAATCCCATCTACAATACAGAAAAGAACATTAAAGGAATTCCATGTTGGCCATCCGGGAACTTCAAGAATGAAAAGTCTGATGAGGAGTTACGTCTACTGGACCAACATGGACAACGATATTGAAAACACTGTAAGAACATGCAAAGGGTGTGCTTTGGCTGCTAAAACACCCCCGATAAAATTCGAACCCTAGCCTAAAACCGACCATCCATGGTTGTGGATACACATTGATTTTGCTGGTCGACTTGATGTTTTTACTACCTTGTAGTAGTTGACAGTTATTCCAAGTGGCCAGAAATATTGAAATGTAAGAAGCCGACCATGGAGGTAACAGTAAAGTTTTTGCACAAACTATTTTCCCATTTCAGAGTTGTTGACTGTATTGCAACAGACAATGCCACACAGTTTACATCCTGTGAATTTAAGGATTTTTGTCAGTCATTCCTGATTGAACATATTACCATGGTGCCATATCACCCAAGAAGTAATGGACAGGCAGAGCGTTTTGTCGACACTTTCAAGAGAGCACTGAGGAAGGCGAGAGGTACTCCCACCGATACGGCTATACAGCAGTTTTTACAGGTCTATCATGTAACCCCTAATAGCAGTGCTCCATCTGCCAAGACACCAGTGGAGGCCATGTTTGCCAGGAAAATAAAATCGGCATTTGAAAAATTCCTTCCAAGTGAAACGAAAGCAGGAAATAGGAATAAAATGCTTAAAATGCGCTTTAAGATCAGTGAAAAGGTTTTTTTTTCGTGTATTTGGGAATAATAAATCTCCCTGGGAGATAGGAACAATAGACAAACAAATTAATAACATGATTTACATGGTTCAGGGACCAAAGTTTATACACAAATGTCATGTAAACCAAATTAGAAAACGGTATGAAAGCATAGTCAACAGGAATCCCATAGATGATGACACTATGGACGTCGTCTTTGACACATTTGACGTTCCAATACTCCAATCAGTGCTAGAGCTCAAAAGGCCCAAAAGAAAAAGGGAATTTACAGAACCTTTAGAAATTAACCCGAAAAGAGAAAGATATTGGACATCTTTCATTTCATACCATGTCTACAGAAAAAGAAAAAGAATGAGAAAAATCTCATCTCCTCACTTATGAACTTTGAATTGCCAGAAAAGCACAATATGCATTGGATTATTGGAAATTATTAACATTATAATTTACCATTAAACTTATACAATTTTTCATTATTTAGGAATAATGAATAGAGACCTTAATAAAAAGGGACTGTTGTTAACACGTAAAATGTTTGTCGTAAAACTAAAAAAAAAAATTGTGAACGTAATTCTTGTATATAGCTTTTCCAAAGTGGTTGTTTCTGATTTTTTTTATGAAAAAGGGTTTATTTTGTTGAAGAAAAAGTATTGTGTGGTAATTATAAAAAAAAAAGATTCCATACAGAGTGAGGCTGAAAAGGAGGGGTTCTGGTGTCCTCCCTCTAAAGAGTCTATGCTGGACTATGCTGCCTACTATAAGATTAGTAGGAGAGAAGGCCTTGGGGGACAGTCGAATAGATTGAACACTGGGTCAACTGATACACACACTCACTAGTCATGTAATACTCTTCTGTTTACTGTTTAATATATGATATATCTGCAACACTGGTTTTGTTATTTCTTAAATCATTTAGTTGGTCACAACAATTATCACCAAGAAAAGTGATGCAAAAGACTTCAGTATCACCTATTCTTTCTACAACACTTACTATCTTTCAGACCATGCACTACTATGCAGCAAAGAATTCTTTTGACTCGTACGCAAGAAACCTCTTGTTAAAACTACAGTTCCTAAATGAATTCTGATGTTAAGAAGAAAGAAATCTCTGAATCACGGGATTTGAGGCTTGATTCAGTTGTGATTTCAAAAGATATTGAATCCTCCTGGAATTCTCTCAGATGCCATTTATTCCAGCTCCCTTCAAGTTCTAGGACTTCCTATAAGGAGACATTAGGATTGGTTTGATGTAATTGATGCTCACATTCAACGACTGATCAAGAAGATGCACGATTGGCACAAAATATTCATAAACAACAAAAATTGTCCATAAAAAGTGCACATGTAAGCAGAAAGTGCAAAATGCTCTCAGAAAAATGAAAGAGTCCTGGTGGTCTGCTAAGGCTGTGGAATTCGAAGTGGCAGCTGACAGAAAAGAAAAGGTGTACAGCCCACAAGGAAATAGAATTTCACCTGTTTTGGCATCTGACAACATCACACTCCACACAGACAAGAAGGAAATTATATCACGATGGAAAGAACACTTTGAAAGTGTCATTAATTCCACCTCTGCTATCAATGACAACATCATTGCTTCAATTCATCAGCGACCAGAACTTCCCCAATTTTCTTTGGAGCCATGCCTAAATGAAATCCAGAATTCTACCTATTTGTCAGTTGGTTGAGAAAATATTATTATATTATGCTAAAATACTACATAAATCCAAATGCAAAAAAGGCTGAACTTAACTGCAGCCATTTACATTAAACATAAGCAACTATCCATTATATATATATATATATATATATATATATATATATATATATATATGGGATAACAATATATAAATTTTTATATATCATGAACAATTTTGGAGGAAAGATGTATGACAAAGTGTAAAAA